TTCAAATAATTCCTAAGTGAGGGCGGATTAGGCTGAAGGAGCCCCTGCGAGCTCTGCTATGGCTGTCATTGCTCGTGCCAGGCCCCCTGAGAGGCAGAGCAGGCACTGTGTGTGGATTCTGATGCTGTGTTTAGCACCAGAACAGCTCAGCACTGTCCTGCTGGGTACTGAGCAGTGCACCCAGTGTCTGCTGTAGAGATTTTCATTTTCCAGCCCCTCCTGCCCATCAGGGTGGTGCCACTGCCCAGCTGTACCCTGGGGTTACTGTCCCTGTTACCTCCTGGACCCGGCTCCTTTCAGAAAGCAGGTGAGCAGGTGCTGCAGCTGGAGATGCTGGGATGAGACCTTTCCTGCTGAGAGGCACAGCTGCAGCTCCCAGAGCCCTGCAGCAAGCCCAGGTGGAGCTCTGGCGCTCCCCAAACAGGACACACAGCCTCAGCAGCAGAGGCTGCCCTGGGGGAGATGCTAAGGTGCTGCCAAGCCGGCTAATCCTGCAGGAGCAGGGAGAGCTCTGAGTTGTGCTATGTAAAGCACCTCTAAACAAAGCCCTGGATGGGGAAGCCAGGAGCCAGCATGGCTAGAAATGCTTCCAGGAGAGCAGCCACAGCAGAAAAGCCCAGAGTTGCCTCACCACAGCCACAATGGCTGATGAGCTCACATCACTGTGACCATCACCAGCTGGACATGCAGGGTGTGCCATGAGTGCTTTGTACATGACTTTGGATGGGTTTGCTTCAGACCATCACCACCTGGACGTGCAGGGTGTGCCATGAGTGCTTTGTACATGAGTTTGGATCATTTTGCTTCAGTTCAGTCCATTGGAAAAGCTATTTACTGAAAGCTGCTTCAGAAACGAGCACAGCATTTTAGTCTTTCTTCCTTGATATTATTACAATAGTAGCCTTTTTACTTCAAAATGTAAACTCTTGTACTTAAAAAAGCCTTGCAGTTCCATCTGAGCACCCAGCACCACAAGGCTCAGAGGAATATGTTCTGGAATAAGGCTGATCCTTAGGGAGTTAAAGGCACAAGGTCACTCAGCTTGGTGCCACCAGAAGGTAAGAAGAAATTGTCACCCCCCAGCAATCCGGGTACTTCCTACCCTCTGGGCAGGGAGCTGACACTGCTAGTCTTCCCTTGCAGACTTCATCACCAAAGCAAATTCCCCGGAGCCTCTCCCTGATGGCTGCAGGAACCAGCTCAGAGTCAGCCCTGAATAATCTCTCCCACAATTAACTCCCAGCATTTGCCTGGGTGGTTACCCATGGAGAAACCTGTACCAGGAGGGACAGGGCAGTCCCAAGGCACAGATCTCACAGGAAAATGCTGATGGGAGGAGGGAACAGCATTGTTAATCCTCAGAGGGAAAAAGAAGTGGAAAGAAGAATGGGTATCCCAGCATGCTCACTGTCATCATCTCTGCTTGCAGGGTTCCATGCCTCCTTTCAAGTGTTCTAGGAAAAACTGTTCTGCTTAAACTACAGCACAGAAGTTGTAGTTTATCCTGTCACATAGGGTAGTTTATAGGGTAGTTTATAGGGTTTCAGTGCTCTAATCCCCTCCACATTTATTTTGTCTCTGAAAGAACAGTGCTGCTCATTGCACTGGAGGGAAGCAGCTTTTTTTTACTGGGTAGAGGGGAGGAAAGGCTGCCCCTCCTTTATCAAGGATTTTCAAGAAGAAAACAAGAAGAAAATCCCCAGGCAGAGAGCAGAGCACACGTGCAGAGTTAGGGGGTGAATTTCAGGACAACACAACTCTGCTCAAAACACTGAAATTCTGTCAAGCATTTCTTGTTGGTAATTATAGGCCTGTTGGACAACAAGGAATAACTAATCTTTTTTAGTAACAAGGATTAAATCCTCTTTCACAGCCACACAGGCTTTGACTACGCAGAATCCCTTTACTGGCAATGAGAGAAATTACTGGTGGTGAGTCAAATCGCCCTCTTCTAAGCAACTAGATTTTAGTATAAGCAAATGATGTTTTACACATTTAATGCCTATACTTATTATCTAATTAAAGCATTTTTCTAATTTCTAAAAAATATAAAATAGTTCTTTGACTATTCATTAGTTCTTAGAATCATAACGAAATCTTTCCTGAGAAGTACCAAGCATTGTCTGACTAGTGCAGCTTAACAGCTTTTGCAAAACCACTCAATGCGGGTGCTAATTATAACACAAAATGGTAAATGGAAAATAGAATAGAGGCGAGACAGCTTAGCAAGGCTAGACAGTTGTTTAATGAGATCCAATCTTGCTGTCTGATTGTCTTGACAAAGAAAATGTGGGGTCAGTTATGGTGCTACACAGGAAATCCTTAAGACACTAGATAAAAACACAACGGGGCTGAACAGACAAAGCAGGGGAAGAACTCTAAAATGGGCAAAGACACTGATATGGGGGAGGTGCTGGATCCTGCCATAAGACCTGAAGAATGGGCTGGAAATAGCTGTGCTTGAAACAAATAGGTAGGATGAAATATTGTACAGGAAGTATCTGATAACCTTCAAGCATGAGGTAACAGAAAACAGATAAAAATCAAAGTTTCAAAGTGCAAAATGGGAGTAAGAGATCAGTAATGAAAAAATCCAATATACTCTGAGACCTTGTTGAATAAAATAGCAGGAGGGAGAGAATTTCAGGTATATCTCTAGATCATAGCTCATTTAAGTGCCACTGCTATGATTTGATAGTGAAAGAAGGCAAATACAATCCTCTGATGGACCAAAAGTGTTTTTTTGAGAGCTGACATTAATGCCATGGTAAAAAGCGTTACTTGGTCTTTACTGGAGTGGTAAAGCATCATCCTTGTCCAACAGGGATTTATTCAGCCTTGAACAGGTGCTATAACAACACATGGGAATCAATGGGATGACAAAGCAGAATGCCAGGAAAGGGCAGAGGAGGTTTGTTTGGATGCAGGGAGAGGCTGAGAGAGGATGCAGTTGTACAACACGTGAAAGAAGAAATAGAGCTGTTGAAATAAAAGAGAAACATTTGTGTAAGTAAGCTGAAACCTGAGTGATTCATGGCTCCCTTGTGGTTGGAAATTAAGAAGCAGTGCTGCAGGATGAGTGACCAGAGCAGCTCACACTTGTCTCACCCTGGCTGTGGCGTTTCCTCTCCCTCTGCAGCCCAGGCAGGTGGCACGAGCTGTTCAGAGCACAGCCAGAGCTCTGCCTGCGAGCCCTGGTTTGGATTTCTGACCCTGGTGGCTCTGAAACAGGGCCTCCGCATTCTTTGGGAACACAGAGGAGGACAAGGAAGCAAATTTTGAGATGAATGCCCCCCAAAATGAAGATAGATTAAATGAGTCCTCCTTAGGAGCCAAATCTCTCGACAAGGACCAGGTAGAGGAACAAACCCCAGAGGAACCTGGCAGGCAGCGATGCTTCCAGGGGCCTGATGAAACTGCCCAGTGGACTCAGCCCATCAGGCTGACCCCAGCACACTGCTGTGTTTGTGTGCATGTTTTTGGGTTATAACAAGTTGGGGTTGCATTCTCTGCTTAGGGAATTTAATAAGAGTTCTCTCAGACATAAAGAATTTGTCGTCCTTTCAGTGTAACAACTGCACCAGTTTAAAAGAGGTGGGGAAAGACACCAGTTGAGTTTTAGCATTCACTGGACAAAGAGAGATATTGAACAGAAAGGCAGACTAACTTCACGATGAGCTTATCACTCTGCCTTCATTGCCTGTGGCAGTGGCTGACTGCTGTGGTGATACCAACCCACAGGATATTTTCTCTTACCTCATGGGCAGCATTTCTGGGACAAGAAAGCTGTGTACACAGCTATGGGATATAGCTGATTGCATCTGAAAATATACAATTAAAATGCTGGGGGTGTGAGTTGGTTGTGGAGCATCTGACCAGAGTTTCTGCCAGGCAGAGGGAGGCATTTATAGTAATTTTTTTTTGCAGCAGCAATGCCTTCTGCCATTGGAATGTCCTCAAAAAAAAAAGAGAGAGGGGGAAGTGCTAAGTCCATTGTCAGGGTATTACCCAGAAGCTTTCCTACTTTTGTCTCTGAATGGCAAAACTTGCTGCTTCTCATTTATTTCACAGCAGGACCCCTTCCTGTGATGTGTATGTAAATTGCCCTTGGAAACATTAGGAAAACTAATGTTTTGGGCTTGAGATCTTGTTTCTTCAGGGGTAATGGCTTTAACAATGGACTGTGACACTGGAAATGTTACTACAGCCTGTAGGTTTACATCGATTGTCTGCAGAAATTTATCCTAGCTCTTAAAGAACCAAAAAAAAAATGTTCCTAGGTCTGCAAATCACCACAGAAGCCCCAAGGCCTGTGTGAGCAGCACCTCACCTGGCTGAGGCTGCCATGGACCGCCTCCATTCATCCCCAGAACTCCCCTGCTCCTCTCCAGTCCCAGCAATAGGAAGCCAAGGCACAAGCCCAAGTGCTCAGCAGTTGCTTGCCAGAGAATCTTTTCCAAGTACCAAAACTTAAACAGCTGTCTTCTTCACAGTGGTGGTGGAAAGTAATAAAGTAACCCATTTATTAAATGGTAACTGCTTAGGGGACAGTGGATGGATGTATAAACTGCATTCAGTTCATATGTAAGGGCTTGTATTGTAGATAAACTGCTTGAGGGAAGGAACACACTCATTCTCTTTATGGTTTCACAGCCCGTGATTTTACCATAATGCTGTAACATAAAGCTCAGAAAACAGTCCCCACTACATTTTCAATAGCATTATCACTATGTACTGGTTAACTCAGGCTCCCTGTGGAAAAATGGCTTGTCCAGATCCTGTTGTGAGGCAGTGGGAGGAGCAGAACACAGAAATGCTGTCCATGAAAACACCGCTGCCCAGGTGGCACAGTCACTGCCCCACAGGCTGATATTTGTACTGAGCTGACTCTGACCTTTGTTTTTAGAAATATAGTAAGAGGAATTAAGAATCAAGAATTACATTTAAGGTAACAGGAACTGATGTGCTTAACAGCTATTACTTTTTCTTTCTGTCTTCAGTGCAAGGAGTTCACCTTCCACACTGGCTACGAGGTGCTCGTACAGCGGCTACTGGAGGGGAAGAAGATGTGCAAAGATGTGGAGGATTTGCTCAAGCAGAGGTATTGAAAACCAGAGTGAAAAAAAGTGTGAACAGCCTCCTTTTTTTGTCTCATTTGGCATCTGGAAGGGAATAGCAGGCTGTTTCTCAGTTTGGTATTGTTATGAGGTTTCATATAAAAACCTGAGTAATTTGAATCCCAGCCTTGTGCTGTGAAGGTCGATAAATAGAAATCTCAAAGACTTGAGAAGGGAAAAGAAGGTTGAAAGAGTCAGAAACCCAGAGCTCCACTAAGCTCCTCATTATGAGTCCAGAAGCACACAGTAGCACCTACATCCACAAGTAGCATTTTTAAGTTTCCCCTTTTGCAGGGCAAAAATGACTTGCACATTTTTGTTTCTCTTTGAACATGCTGTTGCCACAGGCACTGTTTCAGTTTCCTGCCAAAAATGAGACGTTTTTCAAATACAAAGCTACATAAAATGCTACCTAAAGCCTTACCCAGACACTCAAACCAGCCCCTGTTGTTCACCAGCCTTAGCAGGCTTTGAGTAACGATGTTGTAGTTTATGCTCCTGATTATGTGCTTCTTGGTGCTTCTCAACAGCAACTATGGACAGCTGACAATTTTATGGGTGAGAAAATATGTATCACACTGCTGCTCTGGCTCCTTTGCCATTCATTTTTGTAGCTGTGACTTAGAAAAACAGCCCTGAAATTTGGTTCTGTTTTTAGGTGCCTTCAGCAGCTTCAGCATGTAGCATGAAGCACACACTTACTCAGGCATGGCATGCAGGAAAGACCACACAAACAGGGCTTATATATCCAGGAGGCAATCTCAGAGCAGCTCATCTCAGCACTGTCACCTTATGAATATTGCTCTGCCTTCCTGCTTTTTCTTCCCATGCTGTCCCCATCTACTTTTTTGGGTTTAGAGTGTTTTTCTGAAGGCTGATTTTAAAGCCCTAGGACTTGCAAAGGGGTGTGACTTGTCAGACTCAAAGGTGGCCGTTTCACATCCTGTGAAGTCTCCCATCTAAACCTGAAGCTATTTAAGTTGCTTTTCTCAACCACCAGTGGAAGCCTGTGGTATTGGCACACATCACACAGTCCTGAAGTCACATCTGCCTGATGGCAGCTTAGCTGCCAGTGTTTAAAATAGCTCCTTTGTGCCTCATACCTTGCAGAGACCAGAACTGCACTGCAGGCCGTGGGCAGTGCAATTCTGCATCAGATGCTACACACGCCTGTGCTTCTTCCAAAATATCACAGAGGCTTCTGAAAGTTGCAGGATAAGGTTTTTCCTGGTTTATGGTGGAGGCACAAAGTTCTTTCCATAAAGAAGAAAAAATACATGTACAGTCATTTTGCAAATATTTCCATGGGATTTTTCACACCCCCAAGACATTGCAGAGATGGTATGTAGGTGTGTGTGCCTGTGTGTGTACGTGCCTGCTGGGGGGAGGAAAAGGAGAAGAGAATGGGCACCAAGTCAAAGATGTGATTTCCAGTTTATCACTGGCAGATGTTTGTTTCAGCTTGTCCTCACGTCACTCGTAGGAATGACCCAGCAGAAGATCAAAGGATGGGATGAATCTCTCTTCCTAGAGGCTGCCCATACCATATGGTTCACGTTGGAGTTTCAGCAAGGACTCCTGCAGTCCTGAAAGCAGCTGCCCTGGCCCTGGCCACACTAACACTCCACAAAACAAAACTTCCAACCACAAATCCCCTAACTAGCCCAGAGAAGGGCCTAAGAGGTTTGGGAGTGAGAAAGCAATTGTATTCCAGTTGTATTCCAGAACAAAGCCCAGGGTTAAAACACAAAGTATGTTCTATCTCTGAATGGCTGCAGGGAAACCTAGAAGCTGTGTGCAGGACTGCTGGAAAGTGGAAAAAGCAGCATAAAGACGTGAAGAGATGGTGTCAGCCTCCTGTCAAATTCATCTGATCCTGGCCTAATCCAGTCCCATCCATGCTGAGGTTTCAGGAGCTGGGACTGGCTTAAAAGCTGGCCATGCTTTTTTCCATGAGATACCTGTGTACTGAGCAAGCAAAGGGGGAGTAATTACTGGAGTAATTCTCATTGCTTCACAGGCACTGGCACTAAGCAAAGCCTCTGACACAGAAGAGTTTCTTGATACTGAAATCAGAAGAAAATTAATCTGCTCTTCTTCTGCAGCATTATGTGTCTGGAGCGTATTTCCATTTTGATGAAATTTCATTCATCTAACATGAAAAAGAAGTGGTGCCTCTGCATGGCCTGTCACCATGATTTGCACCCTATTCCTCTAACAGGAATGCCAAGCAGTGATGTAGGAACACCCCACTGAAACACAGCAGTTCTGGGTGCAGCAGCAGCACATGCAGTGTTCCACACGTAGCAGCCATGGACAGAGGCCAGGAACACTCTGCTCCTGCTGCAGGGCCAGCACTGCTGCCCCAGCAGCCTGACTGATCTCCTTGGGCTGGGGAGAGTCCTGGCATGAGCCTGCCTCGGGTGCCAGGAGATGTGGGTTTGCACCTGAGCACCTTGGCTGCAAGGCAAGGTGCTCCCAGAGCCCAGGGGCAGCAGGAGGGGCGGTGGGACCCTCTCAGGGACCCACCCCAACAGCTGCCGTGGGGCAAAACTGCAAGACCAGCCTTCAAACTGCTGGAAAAGGCATACAAAGCACCTCCCGGCAAGTGGGAAGATTGATGGGACTAAAACCCAGCAGGGTTGTACGGCCTTACACCCACATCAAAAGAGTACGTTTCTCTAAGGTGCCAAGTTTCAGCCCAAAACAGTTTGAAATGCTTTGAAACTGCTTTTGAGAACTGGACCCTAAACAAAATCATCCCTCCCTCCAGGTGGTAGCACCAGGCTATCTGTTCATTATTTATTATTGACCATCCCATAGTTTTTAGCAGCTGCTCAAGACTGACAACTTGGTTCCACCCTGGTCTTGCCCCCAGGAGAAAGGAAGTAGCACATTTAGTACAAATACTTTTTTTAAAAGAGAATAGAGGTTTCCTCCAGTGCTGGGGGAAGGGAAAGCAAAGGAAATATTTGTATTTCTTTATTAACCATAGAAACAGAGCCACTTTCCTGAGTCACCAGTTACAGTTCCCCATTAGGTGACATTGTCCCTTCCACAAAGCTGCCCCAGCCTCACCACACAACCACCAAGGCTCCTTTGCCCCCAGCCTCCATGGCAGCTCTTCCAGCAGTGTCTCATCTTTGTAATGGATGGAAATACTCCTGCTACCCTTGGCTCCCATTTATTCTCAACATTTCTTGGATGAATCCTTTGGAACCTACTCTTCACTGCCCTCACAGCCGCTGTTTTCATGGATTGAGTCAGCCATCATTTTTAAGTTCCTTTTGTTCTGTTCTGAACACCTTCATATTGTCTCTGTTCACCTCCTTCTTCCCAAGAATCCATGTTTTGGGGGCAGAGCTGAACACAGCATTCCACAGTAATCAAAGCCATGAAGATGGGCTTCATTTTTATCTCATTTCTTCCAGAAATAACTTACCCAAAGTATTTCAGAGGTTAACTAACAGCATTAGGATTGAGGAGACAGAGAAATCAAATAAGTTGCATTTCTGATGTTTTGCACCTCAGGTACAATTACAGGATTTGTGTAAATGTGATCCTGGTACCACTAAGAGAAATTGAGTAAGTTTTTCTTTTAACAGAGCACAAGCAGAAGAGAGATATGGGAAAGAGCTGGTTCAAATTGCCCGAAAAGCAGGAGGACAAACAGAAATCAAGTAAGGAATACTTTTATTATCACTGCAAACAAAATTATTGTGGAAGAAATACCAGACTTCTGTGTTTTGCCTGTGAATGAGGGCACAACCACTCATTTCAGTACACAACTCTTCACAATGTATAGGGAAAGTGGGGAAACACCACAGTCCTTCACAGTGGGATTCATTATTTGTGAATAGTCTCTATTTAGAAACTGCCAGTAGGTCCTTTCCTGAGATTTTTTTTTATTTTTTTATTTCAAGATTCTTAATGTTTAATATTTGCTTCCTAAAGCAGACCAAATGATGGGGAAAAAAGAGAACGGAAAAGGTTGTGAAATGTTGAGGATGGTGGCTTGACAATTCTGGAAAGCTGATGAACACTGAGAGGCTGTGACAGAAATACAAAGAGCCCAAAAATCAGCTTCTGCAGCAGGAAGAAAGGCTTAGCTTAGGAATACAAAATGTAAATTTCTTTGAAGGGACCTAATTTGAAATAATTCAATGGAACTACTGAAATACACTAAGATGACATATATTTTTCTCTGTCTCCTCCATTACTATATTAAATGATGTATAAATTGTGTTGGGAGGGGAAGATAGATATTGGTAAGGAATTTAACTTAATAAACACTGCTGATAAACTGCTGCTATTATTGATGGCAGCTGCAATAATGAGACATTTTGTCATTATTGTAACAAGTAATAATACAGTAATAAGATGGCAGAGGATGAAGATGTGGGGTCACAGAAGACGCTCCTGAAAGAGAAGACCTCAATCTAAACACAAACCAGCTCTATTGATCCCTGGGGCCTGCTCCCCTCCTCCATCCCATATCTCATTTCTTAATTGCAGTCTCCTTTTCACGTTGATTTATCACTGCCAGTGCAAGTGGTTTCCTGTCCATATTTTATGGGGAAGCTTGACACCAAAGCTCTGCCCTGCCATGGCAGGCAGGTGCCAGCGATCCCCCAGCACCGCTGTGGCTCGCTGGTGGCACAGCAAGGCTGGCACAGACACTGCTGTGCCTACCCAAGTGCTGGGTAATGCCAGGGGAATGTGCAAGGCTTGCCCTGCCAGTGCTCCAGCTCTGCCTGGTCCCTGAGCAGCACCCAGGGATGCCACACTCCCAGGAGATGGCTTCTGCCTCCCTGGTGGCTCAGTTCACTGACCTAATCGGTGAAAAGGAAAGAGAAGAAGAAATATTCTGAAATTAAAACTTCAGGTTAAGAATGGATGGGTTTTTCTCAACCCAAAGGCTGAGATCAGCATTCCAGGATCAAAGAAAGGCTTCACCTCAACTCCTTTACTGGCAACACAGGACAGGCAGAGCAAATGTGTTCAGCAACAAGCAGCTTTGGCTGCCCTTTGGTAACTCAGTGCACAATTCATGGGTCTGCTTATTCTCAAGAGATTATGAGAGCTTGATTTAGAAGCAGAGCCAAGTCTCAGTGTTGGGATATGGATTCAAGTTCTCCTCAAGGTGGGGGGAAATTTGGACTTGGGCCCAGCCCCACTTTGATCCAGCAATTTTATAGCTTGGCATGGAGGGAAGGCTGAATACACAAACAAAGCTGTGCTGTGGCTGATTTACTGTGTTTCCATAAGCCACACCTGGCCAGGGAGAGACCAGCTCTGTGCTGATGCTTTTATCAGAGCAAGTGTCTTACTGTGTCTGGTCTGAAGCAGAGAGGACACTTAGCTCTCTCTTATCCAGCATCCTCTGATTGTTTAAGGAATTACACAGAGTCAAGGGCATTTGTCCAGGGCAAACAAAAAATCAGAGAAAACTAAAGTCTGTCCAGGGCTGGAACAACACAAGAAAATGCAGTGTTTGGTTTTGATGCCTAAAAATTGCTGAATTTTCTGTGCCTGTGTGTTCTCCTCAGTGTGAAGTTTCTGTTTGTTTATATGACATTGATTGCTGGCAGCAGTTCTGCCCTCAAGGTCAGTCCTTCAGGGAGACTTGAGGGAGGGAATCTATGTACTCTCTATAATAAGAAAAGCTTGAAAGGACTGTGCTGCAACTGTGCCAGTGCATTTTTCCAAGTGTTTCCTCTTTATAGGACTCCCTATTTTCATCCAGCATACTAAGTACTAATAGAGCTACAAGTACTTGATAGGCTGAGCAGGGCTGTTCACATCTTCAAATGCAGTTTTGGGTAGCAGTATTTCTTAAAGTCTAATGTATTTGTACCTAAAACTTCCATCTGACAATCACCCAAAAAAAAAGTAGCTTCCAGGGTTTTTTTACAGACATTCCTGTGCCATGCTATGTATGGCAGAGGAGCAGGAATTACTAATTTTAAATCATTCAGTCATTTTCTTGCTAATGCAAAATTATTGTCCTCTAGTCTTAAATTTAGCCACCTTTAAAATATCTCAAGATACTAAGGCATTCTGTCACTTCTCCTGGGAAATTCACACCACAGTAGTTGCTAATATCAGGAGGGTACCTGATACCCTTTCAAAAAAATCTATAAAAGGAACATAAAAAATGCATCCACAACAAACACCCAAAACCTTCCAGCATGAGAAAATTCCCAGAAGACCTTAAGAGAAACAACTGCAAGGCTGAGGTTGATATTTCAGCACAGTCAGGACAGCACAAAACAAGGTGCAGGCTATGAGAAGATGAGTAAATGCCAAGCACCAGAGCAGCCTGGAGAAGGTGATGGCCCACTGCACCACGTGGTGGCCACTGCTGCAGAAAACACTTCTCTCCCAAGCCTGCCCTAGATTTTAAAAGCATTTATTTTGGAATCAAAGAAAAGAACAATTTCAACATTTTTTCAGGCTTGCTCCTTCTCCCCCCAAATTCTGCTTCAGCTGGAGCAACTTGCTGAACTCAGCTAAATGTATAAATAGATGCTACTGCCCTTTTTTGTTCACCAAAGACACAGATGAAGGAATATGCTGCTGACTCAAAAGATTGTAAGGAAGGCTAACTGGAATGTAACAGCAACTCTGGGACCACTCTCTCTTGATTCAAGAAGACTCTAGGTGACAGCAGCCACCAGGATGCCATCCTGTATCCCTGGATGTTCCCTAAGCATGGCTCCAGCTGCTCTGACAGAGAGCTTTGTCCCAGGCCTGGCAGGGACAGCTCCAGGCCAGGCACACAGAGCCCTTCAGGGCCAGCACCAGCTGTGACATCAGTGACCTGGGGGAAGAGACGTGGAGTGTCCTCTGAAGACCCCCCAGCACTGAGAACCACTCTGAGCTCAGGGCTAGCAGGGCCAAGGTCTGGTGCTGCTGCTGCAGCAGGGACTGGCCAGGGCCCCTCTGCTCCTGGGCACAGCAGGGCAGAATGGCCCTGGGAGCCCACGGGTCAGGATGTGTCTGACAGCACCAAAACCAGCAAGGCAGACACACTGCACTCGGGTTGTTTCTGGAGTTCCCAGGACAGAGGAGGAATTGATGAATCTGTGTCCTTAGAAGGTTAATTTATTATGATATGACATGACATGATATGACATGACATGATATGATATGATTGATATGATATGATAGAATGCTATACTAAAACTATACTAAAAGATAGAGAAAGGATACATCAGAAGGTTTAACAAGAATGAATCATGAAAACTCGTGACTCGCCAGAGTCCTGACACAGCTGGACTGTGATTGGTCATTAAGTAAAAACAATTCACATGAAACCAATCAAACAATCACCTACTGCATTCTAAAGCAGTAAAACAAGAGAAGCAAATCAGATAATTATTATTTACATTTTTCCCTGAGGCCTCTCAGCTTCCCAGGAAAAGAATCCTGGGCAAAGAGATTTTTCAGAAAATATGATGGTGACACTGCACCTTTTCTTATTTTTAGAAAAAGCCAGGAAGGGGTTTTTTTCTTTTTCTAAAAGAAGCTGGTGCTGGGTACCACTGACAGAGCAAACAAACACACCAGCTTCCAGCTCAAGAAGCAGTTCCCTCTAAGTGCTAACAGCCAAAGGGCACCATCACTCAGTAAGCTGCTGGTCCTTCCAAAAGCACTGCAGCTGGTACAAACTCCTTCCCTCTTCCCAACCCATGGCACAGCTCTCCCTCAGCAGTTGCTACAGGCCTTGGCAAGCCCATTTCAATGCACAGAAGGATGCACACACTTCAGTCTAAGACTGCATGAAGGATCACAGAAGCTCAGACTAACCCCTTCACCTTAATGTTCTGTCCCCAACACTAGATCCCAAGGGAAGCGTAGAACAACAGGGCAAGCACATAAAGATTTTTCTTCTAAACAATCTAGCCATAGCAATCAGTAAGTTCACAGGATGCCACACCAATAGCAGCTTTCTATGGAATAGCCTCCAGTGTTTTCTTGTTTTTATTGTTTGGAGCCCTGAAACATTTTAGCATCCACTGAGTCAATAGGTAAAGCAATGCATGCCTGTTATCCCACTTTTTAAACTAAAAAAATGAAATCTGCATCACCATTTCCTAGTCTCTACTCATAAAAGAAATTACAAAAAGCTGTTGACAAACCTACAGCCATGTTTTCTTGGCAAATGACAGCTTATACCCATATCCAGCAGGGGAGAAAGAACTACAGGTTTTGAAGTTTAAAGGGCAGTGTTTGTACCCTCAGTGGTGCACACATGGGAGAGGATGTACAGAAACTGGGATTTTCAGCCAAGTTACAGACTGAGATCACAGTTGCAACTGTTTGCTGGGAATGTACACAGCAGTGGTGCTTCTCACACTAGAGATTGTGCCTTTAAGAGGAAACACCCTTCTGGCTGCAAGGTGCCTGGGAATTTCCATGCAGTGGCTTTGGGCAGCTCCTCAGCACAGCAACATGAAAGCAGAACATGCTACAGAGCCCAGTTCTGAGCTGCACGCTCAGCTTCAGCCAAACCAGGGCCTCTGGGAACTCTGTTCTTCTGTGAAATAAATAACTGATGCAAACATGCATTAGCTGGTTAAACTCTCCCTAGGCTGACAACAGCTATTTTTGTCATTTGCTCTGCTTGTCTCTTCCCATGTATATGATTTCCTTCATTTTACATCCCTTTTTTTCC